GATAACAAAAAACCTAGTTACAAGGAAAGCAATAGACAAAATACAAGAAACAAACCCTAAAAACTAAGACATAAGAATACTAAATATGTTAAAATGAGTGGCGTAACCAATTGCAGAGAAGCAATGCGGCAAGCATTAAAAAAGGGGAGGCCCACTTTTAACTACAACTGTAAACCGTAACAAAATCCCAAAACAAGGCCTTTGGAGCCCGAAAGGAAAAATTAGCAACAAAATCCCTGGAGGGGTCCTTAAATGATACTAATCATAATAAGATCCCTTGGCAGGGCCTCTGAGTTCAATCCACACCTAAAGGTTCGACAAAATCAGAGAAAAGGGCCTTTGAACGATCAATTAGTAGCGCCCAATATAAGATGAAAACTTAATTATAGCAAATTCTATTTTTAGAATGAAATTTCTTTCCTTTATTCAAACCATGGGGTGCCAAAGAGAACAATTGAGCACTCCAATAAGCCTCTTTTGTGATTAAAAGCCTATCGATGTCTTCAGAGCCATTAGGGGCCTGTACCTGATCAATGCATTGGAACGAAAAATCGTCCAGGGTGTGTAGGGTTTTGTTTAAGTGTATCGCTACTTCACAAGTTGTTTTGTTTGTGAGCATAGCAGATTTGTGATTTCGAAATCTCACTTTAAAGTCGGTAGTTGTAGATCCCACGTATTGCAGGCGACATTTCTTGCAAGAAGCCAAGTAAATCACATTTTAAGAATCACAGGAAACTCTAGAGTGAATGGTGTAATATTTGCCCGTCTGAAAGCTGAGAAATGATTTTGATTCAACAAAGAAATTCTGACAGAGGTCGCATCTTTTCCTATCGCATTTAAAGCAGCCATTGTTATGAGGAATGGTTTGTCTCTCGCTGGCAGTTTTAAAACGAGATGGTGCTAACAATTCTTTGAAATTTTTCGATCGACGAAAAGATGGTATGATAGAACCTCGAGGAAAAAGTTCTTTCAATTTGGGGTTAGATTGCAGAATATGCTTTCTGATTATGTTGCCTACGTCGGGCAAGTTAGGATTAAATGTAATAACAAATGGAAATAGTTTCTTCGTTTCTTTTCCACGAGTGCATGAGTAAATTATTTCTAGGGATGGCGGAGGCTTTGGAGAATTGTTTAGAAACTAATTTAGAAGGGTAACCCTGGTTAACAAGGTACTCATTGTACTCAGCTATTCTCTCGGCAAAAAAATACTTCTTCAGAGCAATTTCTTTTCAATCTTGTGGCTACTCCAAAAGGAATAGCCTTGAAAACGTGCTTAGGATGGCAGCTGGAAGGCGGAAGATATAAATGGCTATCTGTAGGTTTGGAATAGACGTCTGTCCTGATAAATCCATCGATAAGATGTAAAGTGAGATCAAGTACGTGGAGCTCACGCTCAGAAAAAACTAGCTCAAACTTAATAGTAGGATACAGAGAGTTGATGTAATCAGTAAATTGATGTAGGGCAGGAAGGCCCTGCTGCCAGAGATCAAATACATCGTCTTGATATCGCCACCATAAGGACGGCTTTATCGGACCAGAAAACTTAGCTTTGTGATCAATTTCGCCCACGGCTAGATAGGCATAGCTACAAGCATTCTTCGGACCCATAGCTGTGCCATGGATCTGAAGAAAGAAATTCTTTTTAAAAACAGAATGGTTGCTTTCAAAACAAATTTTTACGGCTTCTAAAATACAAGTCGTGGATGGAAATTTGTTTTCTCTAGTATTAAAAGCCTTCCTTACTGTAGTGAGGCCGAGTTTGCTAGGGAACATTGAAACCACGTCCCACGAGACCAGTAAGGTGCCAGTTGGAAATCACGGACCGCTTGTGTTAAGATGTTCTATTTTGTTAAGCAGGTCGGTAGTGTCTTGAATAAACGATGGCGGTAATTTTCGAGCAAGTGGTTGTAAATAAAATTCAGTAAAGGCCGATAAGTTTTCAATTGCCGTGCCACAACAAGATGTAATAAGTCTGAACGGGTTACCCGTTTTTGGTTACAGTGAATATATGAAGTTCATATATTTTGAACTGCGGTATTAAATACGTATGATGAACGATCCTTCGCAGTAGATAGCGCTATTTATGCAATAGCGAAAATCAGACCTGAAAAAAATCAGGCCTGTACGGGATTCGAACCACTGACCTCTGCTCTCAGATGGCTTGTTAGCTCAATTGGTAGAGCGCTGCACTAGTATCGCAGAGGTCAGTGTTTCGAATCCCGTACAGGCCTGATTTTTTTCAGGTCTGATTTTCGCTATTGCATAAATAGCGCTATCTACTGCGAAGGATCGTGCATCATACTTACCCGTTTTTGTGCTCAGTATGATCATAGTTAGTAGTTCCCTCTACTAACTATGGTATGATTCAGACCCAGAAGAGAAGTATTGCTCATTGAGTTGCTTCTTCCTTTGCTGAGTTGGTTCGTCCTTAGCTAAGTGATAGCCTGAACAATTTTGTTTTCATTGTGTTCAGCGCAAAACACGGATTTTGCTTTACATAACAATTATGATGTCAAGTGTGCGGATTCCGTCGGCAATCAGATTGTGTGCTTGTACAAATTTTCCATACCAAAGCATATAACTGGCCAAATAAAAGAAGATTGTATAATTGTTTGTTAAAAATATACTATGCGATACGGTATAATTCAACAGACAGAAAAACACTATAATCCTATAAACACAACTACATTATTAAATGAGTTGTAATATTCTAATTTAGGAGCGACTCCAATGGACAATGTAGCAACTGACTACCGTATAGTTTCACGATTAAGACGCATTTGCACGCCTCCCAAACTTAGCAACTTAGTCAAGCCAAGTTCTCAGACTAAAAATTTCTTGAAAATACTCGGTTATAAGACGCGCCAAAAGGTTGAGAGTCAACAAAAGGTGTGATGGATCTAAGAAAGTTTCACGGTTGCCCTGGCGGGGAAAGCAAATGGCGAAAAACTCCCACCGAAAGTCACATTCAAAGGTGTTCGACAGCTGAATATCAACACGCCATCGAGATGCAAGTTTCAGTTCACAAAAAGGCTGGATGGACGAAGAAGGTAGGTTTTATCTCCACATTATTTATTCAGAGAAGGAAATATTAGAGCGAGCGACACAAACATGATTCTAAGAATTTGAAACGATGTTGGTATCCTGAAGAACTTTTTTAAGCCCTGTACAACTATACCTAAACTCACCGCTGCACAAACTCACAGTTTCCTCTAAAGTTCCTTGAAATTAACAATCTTCCACAGCAATTCTTTCTCTAAGTATAGTTATCCAAACAGTCGGTCACTCTCGACAAAGCAACCACTCCTTCTACACGACCGAATCTTTCTAAACATCTACAAAGCAAACAAAGCAACCACTCCTTCTACAAGACCGAATCTTTATAAACATCTACAAAGTATTCCGGAACATTCCAATGGCTTGTAACATAACTATTTTGGTACTATTAAATTATAACAACAAAACGTGACAAAAAAGTTCTAGAAAGTTCCATGGGAAGTTCATGCTGTGAAACGCCTGATAAAAATAGATCTATATCTTATTTGAAAGCATTATTAGAGCTGCCATTTGTTCGTGTTGGGAAAATGAATGGAAATATTATGTTACAATAATCCATTCAGTAAAAATCCATTATAAGCTACAGTTGATCGTTTCCTATTTCTTTAGCGGTCTTACTTTACAGGTAGAATTTCTGTTACCTTTTTCTGTGGTCGTGAATTTGACATAGAGATAGATGTTGCTACGTCAACTACAATTTAAAATATAGAGGTTTAGCCGAGCCTAAAAGCGTAGCTCCAGTAAATTTATTTTATTCATTCTCAGCACTGGCTGTCGAAGAGGTTAATTTGGGGACTTAGGGACCATCTGTGCGGGAGAGGGGAGGGGGGATTGAAGGGGTCTGGAACCGAGGTACAACTCTCACAACTTGCAAAGCCATCAACACACATGTAGCGGTATTTTCAAGCAGCTGAAGAATGATGTCAAGATGTCAGGATCACTTGAACTGATATTCTGTTGAGCGTGAATGATAATTTCGGTTCGGGAAAATGAGCCAAAATTGAAAGAACGACGGTAAACGACTTCTAGTTAAGATATCACCGGTCGATTGTAGGGTATTCGCGTGAGAACACTGCGTCAGTGAAACAAATTACGCCGAAGTCTATGGGCCTCTTTTCTTGATGTCGCTAGTATGACCACATGGGGCCCATACAATCTGTTTGTGTAGCCAACTGTTGTTTTATAGTGAATGTACCAGATTTACCGTTTGCCTCACCTTTTGTGATATATTGCTGACTATGTACATAAATCATTGATAAATAAACGTTGAATTACTTTACCTGTGGTGTATAGTCGTCCCTTTGCCTCAAAAATGTTTTTTTTTGAGCGATTTTGAATAAGTCTGAGTTCGTCGTTAATGTAATGCATAAAAGAAAAATTGCTACACGAAGGGATAACGCTCGAAACGTCAGCTTTTGTAATCGTTATGATGGCCAGTTTACCCTGATTTCAACTTTGTTGATATATCCAAATTATTTGATTTATTCAACTCGATTAGCTTTTTATAGTTATTCTGAGTAAATGTCACCTCTCCTGTATTACTAGATTGTGTTGTGAATTAAGTTTAAATCTTATTCTTGGTAATAAAGCTTGTTGTTGTTATTGTTGTTGTTGAAACACAACAGTAAACTGTATTGATCTGAAAAAAGTATTCATTTGATCATCTACTAAGACTTTCACCAATGCAATTCACCATGACAAAATGTTAACATGAAAGTTTATGAAAAGGCCTGGGTATTTGTCCGAAATTGGATAACTCGTGCAACAACTCAAGTTATATATTGCACGTGTATATGCTGTAACAAGCTGGCAAATCTTTATGAATATATTTCTACCCGGCCATTTTCTTTATGTGTCAAAATACGAAAAAGGTACTCTTCATCTCTGTGCCCCTAAACATTGAAGGGAAGGAGGCAGTAAAAACACGAGTTAAAAGAGGGGGTTGGCCATTAATTTTAGTTCTAATTGTACCAGGGAGAATCCTTGCTTTTCCAGATTCCCATAATTTAAAAATTACACAACTTGTGACCAATGCCTTGCAATATTTAGTCTGGGTATCAGCACTTGTAAGAACACCATGCACTATTTAGAGCTTGGGTCCGAGTATTTAATTCCATCCAAGTAGCATTACAAATTGCATTGCTGGCAACTACAATGTTACCATTTACAGTACTGAAAACTTTATGCATCATGATGTAATCACACAATTATAGACAAAGGAAGTCAGGTAACAGACTCCCCTGCGACAAATTTTAAGGGCTTAAAGTACAAGGAATAAATATGATAAAAATTTACAATTAATACAAAGTTGAAAGTCTAGATTCTGAAGGAAAAACACCACAATCATCAAAAAAGGGTCAATTTCTTACATAACTTACATACATTCATACTTACAAGAAATTATTAATTTTTGTCACTAGGTGCCACTGCACTTACAGTAGTTCTTCCAAACACACAAACCTTTTTATCAGTTATCTCATTGTTTAGGACTGTGTAGGTCAAGGAAGGTGCATTCCTGTATAGAGACTGGCATTTTAATGATCTCATTAAACTGTAATTCCCGGAACAAAAAAAAGTTTTAAGCTAAGGTATAATTTCTAAGTGCTCAAGTTTTATCAATTAGTCACCTTTGTTACTGTCAAGTTCACTACTCATGGGGTATCTTCAGCCGACCCATCCTGTTTCATTAGAAAACATCAAATGCTACTCATGTATTCAAATAAGGAGCTGAATCAAAAGTTTTTATAACCTGCTTCCTCTAATTCTATTCCAGAAACAGTAATTTATTTTGAAGAGGAAGGATTAAAGCTATTGAAACATTCTATTTTACTTAAAAAACATCTGTGAAGCTATAATTACAATAATTGCCTTTACATGTAAACAAACCATATTGAATGAATGAATGAATGAATGAATACCTTTATTTAAGTGTCAGACTAAAATAGCAGTACATAACCACTAAATGGGGACACTAATACAATATGAATAAATTTAATTTGATTATCTCACCAAGTTTGAATGTAGAATCCATAATCTAATTAACTTGCTGTTGTTTAGGAAAAACCTCAGTGTTTTTTTCCTGCCACTATCATTCTAATTATCACAAATCAGTCGCAAAACCAAATCTCTCCAAATTTTATTGCAGGGAAGAAGCTTCTATTTTATTGATCACATCCAACATGTCATCGGCTCCAAAGTCATATTTCATCAGAGGGGTTGGCATTAAATGGGGTAAAACACAGTTAATATCATCAAGTTGTTTGAGTATTTCATTTTTTGCCAATAGAGCATCTTCGTCGCTTACTTTAGCGAGAATGTGCTCTGTAACCCCTAGTCTCTGCTTTACATAGTCGAGTGAATCTAAGAAATACCTCATCTCTAAATAAAGTTTCTCCTTCTGGGTCTTTACTGATTCTTGCAGATCATCCTTCAAGCGTTGCTTTTCTTTTTTAAGGAACTGAATCGTTTCATCGCAGAAATCGTCAATTTTCTGCTTGATCTCTTCTGCGTTTTGATCTAGACTTTTCTTCTGCTCCTCGAAATCATCCATGGATGCTTCTAAAGTAAGGATCTTTTCGTTTGATTCCCGCATTGCATTTAAGATCTTTTCTTTCTCACCGGGAAATACATGTTTAGCAAAATCGTAGTTGTGGCCGCGGTGATCTATTAAAGTGCAGTCCCGACAAATCAACTGCTGACAAGTCAGGCAAAAGAGCTTAAGAATTTTGCCCTCATGATTACCACAAGAGGGCTTGGAATTTGCCGTGCTTCTGAAATCCAGCAGACGATTTATGAGGTAGTTGGACGGAAGGTTTGCTACATCGCCATTGGGTACCTGACGATAAAAGGAAGGTAGATTAAAGTTGGAAATGTTAGTTAATGGAAAGCAAAATAAAATAATGCTTTGTTGTGAAAAGACCAAGTAGAGAATGATGTTCGTCTTCTGCCCTCAGAAGGCCTGAGGTTTTTTTAGAACTTGTTGTGTGCAATAACTTAGTAAATATTCAATAGAAATTTGTGGAATGCCTTGTTAAGACCCATTGTGAGATATAAATGATCGTATACATCATAAAATCCTCTCTATTAAATAAGTTTTTAATTTATGGGGCTTAATGGAATACAAATTACTCCAGAAAGTAGCCAACTATTGATCTTTACAGTGAGCATTGACTTTCGCGTGCAAACAAAGGAGGGCTAACTTGGCTGTTATCCTGGAGGAAAAGGTGAAGTATCCCAGTAACAACCACGTATTCACGCGGGGCTCAATACACCTACCCCCTCCCCCCCCCCAATTTATTTGGATGGTAATTTTATAGTCCCAGGTGTGCAAGGACGTAACATAGATTTAGTATTTTTAAAGTTTTGCACAATCTTGTCGTGCAACATGGGCCCGACATCCTCCTCCTGTGGATAAATTGGCTTTTAGTTATGCGACACCATATTGTAAATTAGCCATTAGAGGTCCCTTCTCCTCAAGAGTTTATGATTTCATACGTACCTTACTTATTTTCCTGCATACGGGACATGCGATCTTGTAATGTCTACCGACTCGAGTTTGAGTCACCAGTCTCTCCAGGCAATGTTTGCAGAAGATGTGTTGACAGTCCAACACTTTTGGCTCCTCATACTTTATGAGGCAAATTTCACATTCAAGTAATTTTTCTAAATTGTCATTCATATCAGCTGTTGAAAGATACATATGACATATATTCAGAACACACTCATGAGGTGTTAATAAAGCCTTTTTGTTTGGATTATACGGTAACAACTCAAGAATCAAATGAGAAGTTTTTCAGTGGATAGAAGAATTATATGTACGTGTACACACGTGTATCATCAATCAAACGAGCGAGTGATACTCGGGAGGGGGGGGTACTTCCTTATAAGGGCTTAATGGGGACTGCGGCCAGCCAGGGTATGTTTTTCGAGATTTTTGTCTTAAACAGGGTATCGACTTTATCATTTTTTGTCTTAATCAGGGTATCGATTTATCAATTTTTGTCTTAAACAGGATATCTTTTCTTGGAAGATAAACAGCAAAATTTTTACAAGCTCTAGTTTTAATTAATATTGAATTCCGTTGATTTTGGCATTGATACCAGGCACATTAAATGTCTTAAACAGGGTATCAAAAATCGGAATTCTGTCTTAAACAGGGAAGGAAAATCAGCGATATTTGTCTTAAACAGGGTCAGGGTATGAGGGGCCGCGCTGCATCTCCCCACCCAAGAATATATCGAGTACAACCCCGGGGTAATACTCCGAGGCTACATCTACTTGATTTGCATCGTTCCTCATATCTATGTATTCTGACTTTTGCGGCTTGTATGTTAAACTGAACTGACTACCTGACCGTTGATTGTGATCGAAGTCACAGGATAACCCACTACATAGCTACCAATTCATTCTTTTCAATTATTCCCCTCCCAAAATAATTCATTTCTGAGAAGTTTGCCGCCGAAAGAGCCTGTAAGAAGGAGTTTCTGTACTTCTAATTAAACAATTATAATATTTTTTGTCAGCGTTATGCACAAGACTTACCCAGGACACTTTAACTCGGCTTTTTATACTACGAAGCGAAGAAAGCCTCGATAATCAATCCGTCTTGGAAGGGTCTGCAGCTATGTACTTCACAAATAACCAATTCAGTCACAAACCTTACGCAGGACGGGCGACTGCAACGAGAATCCATCGAAAACTGATCAACTAGTACTGACAGAAAAGTTCTACTTACGCCAAATTTTAGGGTGTTTATATAATCATTTCCCTTTTCATCAAAATCCTGAATTGCTGAAAGGGAAGTTCAATGTTTGTAGCTAACATCATCGCCTCCCTTGTTTATATCATCATCATTTAATTTCGCGTGTTCATATCATCAATTCCCTTTTCACTGCATCCCGAATTGCTGAAAAGGAATTTCAATGTTTGGAGCTAACGTCACGTCAGCATCGCCCTCAGGCGTTAACATGTTCTTCTATCGAAGTAGACCGGAGGATGATTTCATTCAAAAGTATAGTTTGTAGCTTTAAGGTGCTAACTTAAACTGTCATACCTTTTCATACCGAAACAAATTCACTCGCTCAGCCAATAAATCGTATAGAGGTATCAAACTCTATCAATTTAAATGAAATTCAGATTTAAACATACTTCAATTTGCCTTTGTTTGGGTTTGTTTACTTTCCTCTAATAACAATGGTTGTCTCTTGTTGCTTTACTAAGTTCGTGACTTCCTGTTCTGCTGAAAAGAAAGTTTTATGCTTCTCTAATAATTAACGTAGGCATATTTCGTTTCCTTGAGAATATTTTTGTCCTTTACCTAACCTTCTGCGACTGCCTTTATAGTAGGAAGAACTTGAACTGATAACTTTACAGCTTCAATTGATTACGAGTGTTACCTTAAGACGTGAGCTCAAGAAGAGAAGTAATTAAGTTTGCGTTTCTTACTCGAAGATCTATGGCATCTGAAATCTCAGTCTGGTTCATCGTTGTTTTTTAATCGCCTCGCATTTTTTTTAATTAAATCTCAGCTATAATTCCTCGAGCTAGGTTGGCGGTTGATGAAATTGTGTGACTTTCTCTCCTAAATGTAACGAATCAATTCAACTACGTCACGTCCTCTTAATAAACTCCCTTCGCTAAAGCTTGCTCCGAAGAATCAGCGAAATAGATCTGGTCATGTCAAATTATAGCACGCGTATCATCAAGTCTTCGCAGTCTTTCTCTTCGAAGTGCATTTTGATCCTGAGGGAGGCTGAAGGAAGTTTTTCGTCTTTCCTTCTCCCCCATTCCCTCTCTCGTTCAATGGGAGGAGAGAGGAGTGTGGAGAGGGAGAAAACGAGAGGCCACAGAATCGGGGTTTCGAAATTTTCATTGACGTCAAATGTTTGCACCAGAAATCCCTTACTTTCTTAAATCTTTCCACTTTATGTCGAGTTTGAAAGTTTTTTTTCAATATTTTTTGATAATTTCTAAGCGGGCATTTTTAATTCTGTGTTAACCCTTTGCATACTAAGTGGCACATATGTCCAGATAATACCGTTACTACTTTTGATACTTGTTTCTTGTCGAACTTAAGACACAATATTATGTAAGTGTGTAAATTGTGCCGGCTAGTTGATGTGACACCTATTGCAACCTAAAACGCCCACAATGATTCCTGATTTTCATTGCAGTGAACCGTTCGTATGGCAGCAAATCCCAAAGTTCAGTATTTTGCTCCAAGAGCAACACCAAAAACATGTCGATCTTTTAAGATAAAGACTTGCTAAAAAATATCAAAAGTTTGCGTTCAAATCACACCTCAGGGCCAGATCTTGGAGTTTGGCAAAAAAATTCCTTCTCACTTTATCTGCCAGCACTTGTTTCTCCATTTGATGAAAGCCAGTGTCGCGAACACTACCGTTGCCTTTTTCATGCCCGAAAAGAGTTCTGGGTAATTCCGCCATAACTCGAAAAGGCAACTCCTATCATTTCCATTTCAAAGAATTATTAGAATCGTGTCGGGCCATCCAGTCCTACCAGCAAAATATCGCATCGATTGAAATTTTTACCGGTCAAAACTTGGCCACATAGCCTTGGTAGTTCCTGGAAGCCATCCACAGATGGGCCCGAGAGACAACTTCACTTGTGAACTCGCAAAGCTGGCAGTACAGCATCGTTGGCGGTCCAGTCTACATGAAACCATCTCTCACCTCTGTTTTCATTCAGAGGCTTGCCTCTACCCACATTCCAGTTTAATAATGCCGTCGTGAGGGCTTCTGTAGAGGGAAAATGACTCGAAAAACACTTATAAACGGCCAGAAAAGCGAGAAACCGAATCGATTTGAACGCATCCGAACACGAACTGTTGATCTAGGTTATGTGACCCCAAGGTCTGAGCCCATGGTGTCTCAAAACCGCAAATATTGTAACGGATGATCCATATAAGGACCAACAAAGTGAGGTTAAGTTTGTATCGCCAAATTACAACTGAAAAAATATGGTCTTTTTCGTATTCAAAGGGTTAAGACGGAATTAAAACTACACTTTTTCTCACACTTCCGGGAGAGATATCCCCTCATTCTTGTTTAGAACGTGAAAGGGGTCGTCATTTACTGGTTTTTTCTTTCTGCTTGCCATTTTAAAACTAATTTAACAATTGCTAACAGCTACTTCCCACTAACCTAAAGCTACTTACTACTTCCCAAACTTTGATAAAAATATTTTCACCGACAAAGATTTATTGTTGTTATAAAATCAAACTTCATAGAGATCGGGGTATTTCAGACATACCTTGGTAAATTATATAGTCGACATAGGCGCAGGAAAAAATCAGATTAACAAAACAAGAAAATAAAACAGCAAAACATACATAGAAGCAGTGCAGAGCTATAGCATGGGACAAAAAGGTTCTAGCGACACTTAAATTCGCGACCAAAGAGAAATTGCACTAATACAATTCAAGTGTCGCCAAAGAAGTTCCGACGACGAAGCAGGACCTGAAAACTAAATTACTCACTTATTGCTATAGAAAGCGAAAAAGAATACAACAATAACTCAGAAACAAATATTTTAACTTGCAGAGATCCAACTATTTTTGTGGCCTTTATTTCACAAGTCAAGAAATATGCGGTTTACAAATACCCATGACGACATTTGAAGGTGTCGTGAAAGCCTGTTCATGATATATGGTGCCGACTACAAAAATGAAGATCGATTTGTTTTGGTTTATTTCGAAAATCAGGCTTGAACAGCAGACTTGAAACGAAAACCAGAGACATCTCTTAAAGCTGGATATCCTCTGTTGATATTTGTTTTCTAACCGATTAAGACAATTTTTATAACCCAGGACGAGATTTTTTCTCCCTTAAATCAGGATGAAAGCACAGATTAACATAAATATTTGCACTTTAAAAACTCAGCACGTAGATTATGATTGGAGAAAATAGTCTAAATTCTTCCTCAGCCACGTGAGATTAATGATCACATTGATCAACAGCTACTCAAATCGGTGAAAACCAATCATTATAGCAACCTCGCTGCCAGGATTTCCTATCTTCCCGCCCCCTGGAGCGATAGAGGAGGCAGAGAGAGAGAGACCCTGGGAACGAGGTTGCTAATATAGGTGTTAGGCTGATATAAAATATCAGATTTATCTCTATTATTTCTGTAGTGCTTGTTCCTATTGGGTAACTGCTTTAACTAATACATAATCTTTATTCTATTGGTTAGCACACCTTTGACTGCAGTCATGTGATTATCCATATATCTGTCTATCATTGTATATTAATTTAAATAGCATTCTAATAAAGCAGTTTTGTAGCACTTGGTCTGTGCACGTGTTACTCTTTAGTGGTAGTACATCGAACCCCTAATACACAACAATTTCTCAGTTATATTTACTCCTAATATTGAAGAGAGAAACCTAAATGATGGTAGAATTTGTGCAGGTAGCCAAAAGTAATATCCTCCAAAGTCTTCAGGTCTGTCAAATGAAACCATATTAAGAATAAAAAGTGCTTGAGAGTTAGGATAGTCAGGGTACTTATTTTTAACCAATGTGGTGTTTCCAGTGTATTCGCATTCCAGATAACAGTAGGGGAAGGAATGACTTCTGAAGATTGTACAGCCCCAGAAGTGTTCAGGCTCGAAGCGACTTGCATCCTGAATAGTTCTACATAATGGAAGGTCCTTATATTAATAAACAACACAACGCTTGATTAAAGACAAAATTTGATTAAAGACAAAATTTGGGCATTGGGACAATATGGTTAAGCTGGTTGCACAACCCAAAATCTCAAAATTCCTTTTTCTCCTTAGCGGTTTTTTGGCGCGCTTGAGAGTCAAGACAGTTGCTTCTCACAAGTTTAGATGCACCATTTTCAGGAAGATGTTAGCCTAGATAAAGTAAACACAAAGAAGACCGGATTGAATGAAAACCTTGAAATGGTGAAATGATGGGAAGAATAAATAAATGGACCAAAATATTCTTGAAATAACCAGCCAGAGCCATCCCCCCCCAAAGGAAAAGAGAAACAAAAAAGAACATATATAAAAATAAATATAAAAAACTGTACATATTAGTGAATAACTTAACGATACGAGAGAAAAAACGAATAATGAGTGGATGCATGGATGGACATCTAGTTTCTTACTTTGTCTAAGACTTGCTTTCCTTTCCCTTGTCCAGTACTAGTCACTACGTTTCCGGATCTGTGTCAGTGTCCTTGAATATGAGGGCGACATAATACGTATTCCGTTTCGACTCATCAACAACTTATATGTGGATAATGCCTAAAATGAGAGCAATTTCTAGTTCATCAAACCACTCAAATGAAAAGGCTGCTCAAGCGACGACACGTAATTAACACAATCCTTTAGATTTCATTTTAAATATGAAGTGAAGTGAAAATGAAAAGAAATTCCATTCATTCTCCCAGTAATACCCCCTAGTAGGCTGCGAGTAGCCGTACCCTTCTCCCCTAAGGAGAAACGGAAGGGAGGGACGTCTACATTTGAAAACCCGACACGAATCATTTTATGACGTCACTCCAATCTATGCAGAATTACGTAGCTCGATAATACTTTTGTGAAAAAGCACGTACTACCATGAAAAGTAATCGAGGTACAGTAACAACATTGAAGTGAATTTATTCAGTCACCCATCATTTCGGGCACATTTACAATTTAGTGTCAGCGTTCAAATATATGCTAGAAAAAAAGGTTATGAGCGATTTTTGGTAAAGAGCAAGAAGAGGATTATGGTCGATTAGCATCGCGCTAAAGAAACTAGATTTTAACGTCAACGCAGTCTCTAGTCACATTTGTAGACAGTGCCACAGTCATCCATAAATGTTGTATCATTTGCCTCAGAATCTCAAGGCTTTTCTAATTTTTTTCTATGAGAAAGTTACACTGCAAGTGTAAAGAAAGAGCGACTCCTGTTTCAGTTAAAAGGATCGCTGCAAGAGACAGCTAGCTTTATTAGCTTCGCAGCATAATGTAAAACTAGCGATTGATACGCAAGTCTTTTTTTTGTTTTTTTTTCTTTCTCGGTAGCATATATGATTTATCTAATATATTTAGGGAGAAAAAAATAAAAAACATGCAAAGAAACAAACAGAAACAACATCAGCAAGCCGAGAACCAAATAAAGCTGACAAAAAGAAGTTTATATAGGGAAAAAAGGAAATTTCAGTCTTTTGAAATGGCAAGTGTTATTTTCAAGTCGATCTCTGATCATTGCATTATGCACACAAAAAGGTAATCATAAAAGATCAGCACTTTCCGTTTTGTAGTAAATGAAGAATTCAAACTAAATTCACTGTCTACACTAGGTACAAATATCTACAATGTCTACAGTAGGCCAGGTATCTATACTGTCTAGAGAAGGTACCACTATCTACACTGTCTAGAGTAGCTATAACTGTCTACACTGTCTGCAGTAGGTACAGCTATCTACACTGTCATCATTAGGTAAAACTATCCACGCTGTCTACGAAAGGTACAATTATCTATACTGTCTACAGCAGGTACAACTATCTACACTGTCTACAGCAGGTACAACTATCTACACTGCCTAAAGTAGCTGCAACTATCTATACTGTCTACAGCAGTTACAGTGTACACTGTCTACTGTAAATAAAACTATCCACACTGTCTACATTAGGTACAACTATCCACACTGTCTACATTAGGTACAACTATCCACACTGTCTACAGCAGGTACAACTATCCACATTGTCAACAGCAGGTACAACTATCTACACTGTCAACAGCAGGTACAACTATCTACACTGTCAACAGCAGGTACAACTATCTACACTGTCAACAGCAGGTACAACTATCTACACTGTCAACAGCAGGTACAACTATCTACACTGTCAACAGCAGGTACAACTATCTACACTGTCAACAGCAGGTACAACTATCTACACTGTCAACAGCAGGTACAACTATCTACACTGTCAACAGCAGGTACAACTATCTACACTGTCAACAGCAGGTACAACTATCTACACTGTCAACAGCAGGTACAACTATCTACACTGTCAACAGCAGGTACAACTATCTACACTGTCAACAGCAGGTACAACTATCTACACTGTCAACAGCAGGTACAACTATCTACACTGTCTACAGCAGGTACAACTATCTACATTGTCTACAGCAGGTACAACTATCTACACTGTCTACAGCAAGTACAACTATCTACACTGTCTACAGCAGGTATAACTATCTACACTGTCTACAGTAGGTACAATTACCTACTCTGTCTACAGAAGGTACAACTATCCACACTGTCAACAGCAGGTACAACTATCTACACTGTCTACAGCAGGTACAACTATCTACACTGTCTTCAGCAGGTACAACTATCTACACTGTCTACAGCAGGTACAACTATCTACACTGTCAACAGCAGGTACAACTATCTACACTGTCTACAGCAGGTACAACTATCTACACTATCTACAGCAGGTATAACTATCCACATTGTCTACAGCAGGTACAACTATCTACACTGTGTACAGTAGGTACAATTACCTACTCTGTCTACAGAAGGTACAGCTATCTACACTTTCTACAGCAGGTACAAGTATCTACACTGTCTACAGCAGGTACAACTATCTACACTGTCTACAGTAGGTACAATTACCTACTCTGTCTACAGCAGGTACAACTATTTACACTGTCTACAGCAGGTAGAACTATTTACACTGTCTACGGCAGGTACAACTATTTACACTGTCTACAGCAGGTACAACTATCTACACTGTCTACAGTAGGTACAACTACCTACTCTGTCTACAGAAGGTACAGGTATCTACACTGTCTACAATAGGCATAGCTATCTGCGCTGTCTACAGCAGATACAAATACCTACTCTGCCTACAGCAGGTACAAGTATTTACAGTCTACAGCAGTTACAACTATCTACACTGTCTACAGCAGCTACACTGAACAATACGTATGATGTGCGATCCTCGCAGTAGATAGCGCCATTTATGCAATAGCGAAAATCAGACCTGAAAAAAATCAGGCCTGTACGGGACTCGAACCACTGACCTCTGCGATACTAGTGCAGCGCTCTACCAATTGAGCTAACAAGCCAACTGGGAGCAGGCCGTTAAGTTGATTCGTAATAAACCCGTGAAAGTGATAAATGAGAT